CTCCGCACCCCACCCCAACCAACCCCACCAAGGTCTGCCCGCCGCTCACCGATCGCGACGCACTTGGGGTGCCGCGCCAGCCGCCGCAGCTCGTCCAGCGTCGATGCATCGCACTCCTTGGCGTTGTGCGGGTGCACGCCCGCCGTGAAGAACAGCGGCACCGGCGAGGCGCCGTCGCACAGAGCGGCGGCGGCGGCGGCGGAGCGCACGCTGCAGCCGGTGACAATGATGGCGGCGACGCCGGCGGCCGCGGCGCGGGAGAGGACCTCGGCGCGGTCCTGCAGTACAGGACAGTGCCCAAACCATGATTTATCCACGATTGCTTACGAAGCACTCGTCAGGTTTTGGGTGGTGGATCAGGGGTCCATGCATGCGAGGTATTCCTGCTGCATGCGCCGTTGTGCTGGGATTCCCGGGCAGGCCCCGCCCTGCCGAGCTACCTAGGAAGCGGCTCCACGCGTGGCAGCCGCTACCGCTACCGCATCCGTCCCGCAACGGCGCCCCAGGCGCCGCCTGGCCCCTCGCCACCGCAGCCCCTCCCCATGCACGCAGCCAGGGTCCAAGCCGTGCTGTATTGTCAGCTGACACCGCAGTGTAACGCGCACTGCAATGCTGCGGTGCGCCGCCGCTGCAAGCCCCGACCTTGTCGAACGCGTCATCTGCCAGGTTGACGCCGATGTCGATCACAGGGGCAGGAGCGCGCACCAGGCACTGCTGCGCCAGCTCGCCCTGTGAGAGCTTTGTCTTGGCGGATGCCATGACGGGGCGCCGCGGCTGCTGCGTGCGCCCGCAGAGGGCGCCGCCGCGGCCGGCCGCTGAGGCGAGAATGTGCGCCGCTGCTGCTGGTGGTGTGGGGAGTGGCGAACGCAGAGCAGCAGTCGACCTGCAACTGCTAGTCAACTTGTTTACTGAGACACAGACGCAATTTGCGTGGTTTAGACGGCGAAAAGCGGCTCGAGCAGGGAGCATGCCTTTGATATGCGTACTGTAGATCGCGTGTGACGGAAGACTCCTCAATACGTGAACATTATCAACTGTACACCATTCAATCACACTAATGCACGTTTGGGTGCTCGATCTCTAGGTTGTGCGCACAACGATGAAACAAAGGAATGTGCAGCTGCTGCAAATCCACAAAGCGTGGCGATGCCGCCACTTCCTGGGACAGCTATGTATGATTCGCAAGCATGCGCTTGAACCTTCTGGGCTCTCTGTTCATGTCTTGCAGCATCGGTGAGCAGCTTGTTTGTGCAACACCTGCAGCATCCTGGGTTGACTGGTCAACCCATGCCACCTGTCAACGCCCGCGGTGCCACAGCCCATCCCAAATTATATTGTTTGCGAAAAAAGTTGGCTGTGCACAAATCGCCTGGAAAGCTAGCGATTCTGCCAGGGCTGAGTGGCTCCAGCTCTCTGATGCTTTGCGCCGTTGAGCGAGCACACGGGTCACCAAACGAGGTGCATCGGGCAGAAGGTGACGTTACTCGCCTTCGAACCCAGCCCGCCCCGGCTGGTTCAGCAGCTCGAGCGGGATCCCCGCCTTGCGAAACCGCTCTGCCAGCGAAAACTCAGTGGCTCGCAGCAGCAGCGGGAC